AGATGCTGTACATCCCGCTCGTCATATACGTTCCCGCGCTGGCGTTCAATCAAGTCACCGGGATAAATCTACACGCGATCGCAGCGTTGGTCTGCGTCGTTTGCATATTTTATACCACTCTGGTAAGCGGCAGCCAACGTCCCATTTTTCTCCCCCTTGTCATTCGTCAGTCCAGCGGTCGTTTCGCTCGACCTTGCGAATCGATCGTTGGTCACTACGATCAACGATCCACTCTTTTCTCTCTCTCTGCCCGTGATTTTCAGGGTGGTTTGAAAGCGGTTGTTTGGACCGACGCCGTTCAAACGATCGTCATGTTTGGCGGAGTGATAGTGATAGCGGTGATCGGGACGAGACAGGTCGGCGGGTTCCAACAAGTTTGGAAGAGAAATCGCGACACCGACCGGATCGAGTTCTTCGAGTAAGACGATTCTCTCGAACCGCGTATATACCAGTTTATATACATATCAGTTATTACGTCAGTTTCATCCTATTACATCCGATCGACAGCATGGATCTAGATCCGACGGCGAGACACACCTTCTGGACGGTCGTGATCGGCAACTACTTTAGCTGGTTGGCCAGTTGCTCCGTCAATCAAGCAATGGTACAACGATGCTTGGCCATGCCCAACTTGAACAAGGCCAACATGTGAGTCCTCTCTCAATCTCAATTCTCTGTACGCTCTGTACCTTTCTCTTTCTTTCTTTCTTTATTCTAGAACCGTCGCGATCATGGCGATCGGCATAATTAGCATCGTCTCGCTCAGTTGCTACACCGGCATCGTCATCTTTGCCGCGTTTCACGACTGCGACCCCATCACGACCAAGGTATCGATAAACTCTCTCTCTCTCTCTCTCTCTCTCTCGCTCTCTCGCTCGAAACAACTAAACTCTGCGTTACAGCAAATAAAAAAGCCGGACCAGCTACTACCGTTTTTTGTGATGGAAATGACCGAGTCGATCCCGGGGCTGCCCGGGTTGTTCGTCGCGGGAGTGTTTAGCGCGGCGCTCAGGTACGCTCAGACGTTTCCTCTATCTGAACGAATGAATCGCGAATGAAACACTATCTTTGTCTTTCGCCGCTCTTCGTCCTCCTTTCAGCACAATGTCAACCGGGCTCAACTCCATGTCTGGCGTCATTTACGAGGACATGATAAAGCCGTGGCTGCGAGTATCTCTCTCGCAAGTGGCGGCCAGTCGAGTCATGAAACTGACGGTGGTGTTGACCGGTATTCTCTGCGTCACGTTCGTCTTCCTCGTCGAGAAACTCACCGGACTGATTCAGGTACAGACAGAGAGAGAGAGAGATTCTATTCTGCGTGTATCGATTCTATATCGTCCCTTTTGTTATCAGGCTGCTAAAAGTTTATCGGGCATCACAGCCGGACCGTTGCTCGGAATCTTCACGCTCGGCATGTTCTTTCCATTCGCAAATTCCGCGGTAACGTATCGTCTCTCTCTCTCGCGAGCATCTGCTCGATATACACGTATCGTCTCCTCTCACCTCGATTTGATGTCGCAGGGAGCACTGGTCGGCGGATTGGTTAGTCTAAACTTGGTCGCCTGGATCTCTTTCGGCACGCAGGCCGCTATATCCAGCGGAAAGATTCACTTCCCCGTGAAACCAGTGTTCACCCACGGATGTCCGCAGTCGCTCAAGGATCACGCTACCAATTTTACGTTGGTCGTCGAAACAGCGATCAAGTGAGCGAAATTATCGATTTCATATCGCCTAAACTTCTCGAGTACTTTCTTCCTTTCTTTCTTTCTTCCCTTTCTTTCTGTTCGTTTTCAGAGAGCAACCCTTCTTCCTCTACAGAATGTCGTACCTCTGGTACACGTGGGTCGGTTGTCTAACCGCGATCGTCGTCGGCCTGCTCGTCTCGTGGATCACAGGGCCGAACAAACGACGCCCCGGTGACGAAAAGTTGTACACGCCCGTCATTCGCAGCTTGTTGTTGCGCAACACGGCCACCATCGTCCGCAAACGGCAACAGGTCAGAGACGACCAGATCAATTCCGAGACAAAGTATCTGGTGCCCGCGCGTATTCCGGCTACGTCATTTTCGTCGCCGTTTCTTTTCTTTTCCTTTTCCAGGAAACTGTCGCCGAACTCGAGAAAATGGACGACAAGAGCGCAACTAGAACTTGAGAACGCAGGCAAACATCCTCGTTTGCGTTTGTATTCGGTCGTATGCGTCGTATGCGTCGCCGGCGATGATCTTTGCGGGGGAAACGTCAGTCACGGATGGAGACCTGGCGACGATTTTGACGATAAACAAAAAAAAAAAAATAATAAAAAGAAAAGGAACGAATAAAATACACAAGACGTATGTGTGTGTACAAATCACGTGTGTGTACAAATCACGTGTGCATATGCACACACGCGCGCGTATATTTCCTGTATTTTTAATTTACAATTTTTGTATAAAGAATAATCACAAACTTGGAGCGCGTTTATCGAGACTTAGTCTCGGGGGAAGGGGGGAGAGAGAGAGAGAGAGGAATGATACTTACGCAAGGAGCAAGTCAAGGAACAAGATAGAAAAACGGGAAAAACGGAATTACGGGAATTACGGAAGAACGTAGGAACGGTTTTTCGCAACAGTTTCGCTTCGATTCAAAATCCATCGATCCCTTTCTTCCGGCATCAAACAATCGGCACTCGATCGACTTTCTTCGTGCGACTTTAGACTGATGTGACGATTCGTCACTCGGCGAATGGTCATCCAACCGCGATCCATCGGACGACGCATCCTTTTCGTTTCTATCGAATCTCCATTCGATCGCGTTGGCCGCAGCTCACACGCAGCTGCACGCGCCTATCCGCGTGGTTTCCTTTCGACGAAAGGAAGGCGAGCGAGCCTTAAGAAGCAAGCGGCGACATGCCGATAGTCCTTGGATCTTGCTGACCCGGTTGCGCCGGAGGTCCTGGCTGAGGGCCAGTTTCCAAATTCTTCAACAGTTGATTCAACCAGTGTTTCGTAGACGCGTCCTCTTGCAGACAAGTTGCAAACGTGTTGTCTCTCAGTTGGTCCGGTAAACACTGTCTGAGTGCCAACAATGCCCTGTCGAACGAGTATCAAAGGATCAGTTAATGATCTCCCTGCTGCGCCAGTTTGTTCGACGTTACCTCGGATTGTCCGACAGTCTCAGGTAACACCTGACCACGTGCTTCAGTAATCTAGCGGAGGGATCCTTGGCCAGCGACAACACCATTTTCCCCAAGATCATGGCAACGTGACTGAACCGATCGTACGTCTGACAAATGTACGAAAGACCGCTGTCGTCCAACAAAATCTTCTGCAGGATAAACGTGGCCACGGTTTTACTCAACTCGGAGCCGCTCTCCATGATGCGCAAGCAAAGCGGGATGATCTCCGTGGTGAGCAAGAACGTAATCACCTCTTGCTCGTCGGTTTTTACCAGTGCTCCGATCACTCCCAGACTCGTCAGTCGCAGATATTCGAACGGACGAGTCTTGCTGACCGTGTGTAGAAACGGATACAAGAAGAGCGGCACGTGCGCCTGAAAGCAAGCGTCGTTGAAGAATCCCACCGCCTTGAAGACTCACACTCACACTCACCTGCAGGAACGACGATCTGGTTTCTGGATGGCTGGCAACGCATTGCAACAACGCCAACGCGTTGCACACCCGGTTGCTCTGATACGCGGTTAACGTGGCTGGATTGATAGCAGGGTATATGTTTATTATCTCTTGGAGCAAAGAGGCGATCGTACCGAACGAGTGCCAGAGCATCGGGGCCAAATCCGGCACCACTTCCCGCTTTTTGCTCAGCTCCAACAACGCGTTCTCTCTCGTCTCCGAGTTCGACAGTTCGGTTATCCACGTGTAAACCTTCTCGCGATCCACCGTCGACTGCAACGCCGCTGGACTCTGCTGCGAACTCATTCTCCCTATTTTTTCCACACTCTCGCAAGCTTCTTTCCCTTCTTTCCTCTCCTCTCCTTTCTCGAAACCTAGCTTCACGAACCTAGCTTCTGTTTCTCACCAACAAAAAACAGACAACGTACGTGTATTTTGAAATTTGAATTCGACCAAAACCGATTTCGAGGTTAGGCCAACCAAGTAGCTGTCACCGGCAGCTGCTTGGCCACCCTACCCTCCGGCAAACTTCCATCCTAATGTACATACCCTTTCCCGAATCGATTCACCACACACCAATCGCAAACACACGTTCGCTCTCTAGAAAATGTACAAATATTTCCTTCCCGAGGCATTCGTCTTCTTCTTTGACACTGAAAAACAACACTCCCCCATCGTCCGTCCGCACGCATGCGTGCCGCCATCTATTGAAAACCATCATGTCTATGACGGAGCGGTGCGCCGCGTGACGAGTATGTTACGTACCTGCGTTTAAAAACGTTTGCACACATATGCATGCAATACGTGCATGTATGTTTATGGTATCACCGTGTTCGTTCGAAAAGTTGAACAAATATACTCATTCCTTTCCGTCATACATATCTGTACAAGTTTGTGCATGCGTAATTCAAGTGCAAAATGAACGAGGCGTTCTTTGTAAGAAAGAAATGTAAGCACAATGTGAGAAGGAAATACAAGTGTGTGTGTGTGTGTGTATGCATAGACGACAAATAACGAATATAGTTGCCATTCGGTAGTAGTTTCGATTCAAAACGAAAGAAACACATGTCGTGCGTCAAAGCGCTGGTTATAAATATCCAATTAGTCATTTGTAATTGTAAAATGCAACATTCAAATTTCTTACGAGATCTGTGCTTGTTACGGGTTTACATTTTACATTTCAAGTGTACGCTTGTGAACAAAAATGCTTTGTTCCATAACTATTACCTTCAAAGATCGGAAAACATCATCATTTGTATTTCGTAAAGGAAGAGAAAGAGAAAGAGAGAGAGAGAGAGTAAAACATTCGTAAACACATTCATATATAAAGACATCGAGCAGAATTTTCAGATATGGAGAAAAGCTGTGAATATTAAAAATGCAATTTAAAACGTTCATAGATTAATTCTCTCGATTAGTTTTTTTTCCGCAATTGAAAATTTGCTAGGTACGATGATTGATAATCTAATATAATCACCGTACTACAAAGATTAACAAATAACTTTATACTTTATTATTTTTTTAAAACTGATATTTAACAAAAACTATAAATTACAACTAATTAATACTGTTTCAACTGATTGTTTAACGACGACTGTAGACTGTCTATTAACTCTTTAACAACTATTATATACATCTCCTCGATAATTTGTTATGTTTCCTTGACACTTGTTAAGCAACTCCTTGGTAATTTGTTAAAAGCCTGATCATTTTACATAATTTCTTGTTCTCGAGTTTCATACAGTTGGCGCCGTATGAAATTTACCGGAAATGTATCCTTCGACGGTTGAGCGGGAATAGATGTCGCTGCTACAGGCATGTAGTTACGATAACGGTAAATGATAAAGTCTCCGTACTACAAAGAAAATTTTATACTTTATTTCAACATAATGCAGAATATAATGGATGAACAACGACTGTTTATTAATTTCTTAGTAACTGTTGTGTATTTCCTTGGCAATTTGTTAGTAACTTGGTAACCAATAATTTGTTGATATTTCCGTGGTAACTTTTGATAAGACAATTGAATAGCAATAGATGTCGCTACAGGCACTGAAATTGTTGGTAAGATGATCGATAAATTATAAATTCACCATATTATAAATAACTATGCACTTTGTTAATATTAATATTTTTACTACAACTATTATCTAACGATATTTAATTGAACGATAAAAATTAATTAATTAATTATTTATACACTTTTAATTAATGGTAACTTTAGACTTTAGAATGTACAATGTACAATATTCAATGTTCTGTCTAAATTATCTCTTTTATAACTCTTATTTATACCTTCGTTAATTTATCAAGTATCCTTGACAATTATTTACAAACGTCTCCGTAGTAAGTTTGTTAAAATATTGATTTTTTACATAATTTCTTGTTTTAGAGTTTAACAAAGTTGGCGCCGTAAAATTATCTAAAGTGAACTCTTCGACGAGACGGTTGAGAAACAGATGTCGCTGGAATAGACGTCGCTACATGTCTACAAACAGTGCTGCCATCTAAGCATAGGTATACCTCGTCCGTGCACTCAGCTTTGACTGAAACTGCAAGGATGCAAGAATAGAGTCCGTTTCTGCCGCTAGTTAGTTCTACAGGAATTCGATAGGCGACAGCACTTCGCTCGTTTACAGAGCAACAAAATCACTGGCACAGGATTTACAAAGTGTGTGATCCATTTTATGGATCAATCTGTACATCTTGCTCGTGCCTGTGGCAATTGTGTCGCACACTGCAGCGACAGAGTTTAGTTCTTTCGTTTCACCGCTGCGCGGCGCTCCGTGTCTCTCCATTCATGGCCAACCAACCAATTAAGATCACGAATAAAATTCACTGACCATTCACCGTCAACGGAATTCTTAAAACATCTGCAAATCAAGTTGTCAAAAGTGAAAATCAATAACCTCGAAATTTAAAAAAAGGCAACAGAGAAAGAATGAACAAGTAGCTACCAATGTGTGATGCTCGACATGTTAAGACTGTTTTGTACCATTTTTTATATCTAATTACACGTCTATCTTTCCATCTATTTACATATATACATTTAAAAGCTATATTTATACAATAAGTAGCATAGGTAGCTTAAGCGCAGACTTCAAGCTACTCAATAAAGGAAAAAAAACAATCAAAATTTCGTTTGTAAAAGAAACTAATGAAGAGGATGAACTTGCAACCTTGTTTCAATTGCGCGTTTAAGGAGAAATCTTCAACTTTCTTCTCGTGTTCGACTCGACCTATAAAACGTACGTACAAAAATTTGTAAATTTTACTCGATCAATATATCGAGTCGTTCTCGAGCGATATTTCCTAGCGTGTTACGTTATGTTTAAAAATTTATTGATTTGATGTACAAAGTAGTAAAACATAACGGATGAACGAAAGATAAACAAGAGATAAGTAAGTTCGAAAAATATGTCAGTGTGTCTGTGCAAGTTGAAGCCAATCCATGTACGTAGATGCATATGTATTAATATTGTTATATTATTACTATTAGATTATTTTTATTAGATTAGACTCGACGAGAATTTGTTATCATCGTTAGAGAAAAACATGAATTTTATCGTCGATAAATAAATTTTATTACAAAATTGCAAACCGAGTAGTCAGCATAGATACAGCGACAGCTTTGCGTGGCATTAACGATCGAGTAAGTAAATAAATTTGACGGAAAAACTTTGCGAGTTGTAGTTGTATTGATTTAAAATGGCAAATTTAAAATGGTCGTTTCTCGTGCCATTTTTAGAAACGTTACATCCAGAAGATTGCAAGATACAAGTTGATAATTTGTAATTTTCAGATAATAAGAATGAGTCTTTTTCGAAGATCATCACTTGCCCAATTTCGCGACAAATTGTAAGAGCGAGAGAGAGAGAGAGAGATCCTGAGAACGTTGAGAACACACGTAACACAAATTTGCACGCAGATGATACGAATGAAAAGGCAAATTCTATCTATTTGTACGTGATCATATTTGAAGATTCTAGGATATCCTGTTGCATATTTGACTTGTAATTTCACGAGAAATGTCTTGTATGTCTAATGCAAACGGGAAATACCGCGAATCGATAATCCGTGGTGTAAGAGTGATGGGGGCGGGGGGGGGGGGGAAGCGTCGAGGTGTCACGTTATGCGTACGTAATTAAGTTCTTGGGTAGCTGGAAGTTGCAACATACGTGTACACGTACGTACGTGTAGATTTGCACATGCTAGCGAGTTTCGTGTCACGCTAGTGTCACGAAATCGTTCAGCGTTGATCGTGTAGCGTAAAGTTATTCGAAACCGACAATTCCAGCCGATTCTAAAACTCCAGTTTTCCGAATGGAATCAGCCCTTTTTCGACGATTTTCAGACGATGCGGAACGAAAGAATTCAATTGGGTGGCATTCAAATTTGGAATTTTGTGGCTCGGATTTTCTTTTTTCTTCTTCTTTCTTCTTTTCAGCGCGTAGAACGTTGGCGAGAATGCAACTACTTTTCGGACGTGGTGGCTGTGCAAATTGGTTCTGATAGCTCGCGTCGCGGACGTATCGCAGGAAGGAAGAGAAGCGATAAACGATTTGATGAATCGATTGTCGTGCTTGCAGAGACAGAGAGAGAGAGAGAGAGAGAGGAACGAGCAGGGACTCTCTTTCGAGAAGAGAGACCGCGATCGCGAATAAAACTCGTCGAGTAAATCCACTTTTTGTACATGTAATAATTTCCACGCTTTTGATTTTTGGTACGGTTTGGTCTGCGTGTAAAGGAGAAATAGCGAAGAGGAGGCCTCGCGTCGCAGCGGCAGCGCATGTTGCAAGGTGAAAAGGGCATCTGCTAGTCACAACATTTCGCGAACGTTCGCGATAAATTCGAAGAATTCGATTCTTGCCGTCACGTCGTTCTTTGAAATCGACATTTCCACGGAAAATCTCATGGGCGATCCGGAGCGGCTTCTTCCGCCCCCCACCCCCACACCCCTTCCGCATCCCTTCGGGTATAAAAGAATTTAGAACTTTGATTTTGGTATCCCGTAAAAGATAGGTACCTATCCAGCACATTTATCGAGCAGTCGGATCCGATTCGCGGTGAGAGGCGAGAAACATGGAAAGGAAGATGAGGCCAAGCCTGCCGTTATCGTCGATCGTCGTTCCAACCTTTTTTTCGTCTAGCACCGATAAATTCGGTGGCGATAAATCTAGGGCGCGAATCGATTTCGCGGAGCAAAAACGTGGCTATAAATGTCCCGGAGAGACAAGATTCCGGAAAAGCAACGTGGACGTCTCCGCAAAGGGACAGAGAGGGGGGGAGGGGGTGGAGGAAGGAGATAGAGAGAAAATAGAAAAAACGGGGTTGGGGCAGGCAGGCAGGCAGGCAGGCAGGCAAAGCTGTAGAGAGCACAAGAGAGGGCAAAATAGACGACGTCAGTTTTCGAGACGTCAGTTTCAAAGAATAGTCCCAAGTTTGGGGCGGACGAGGGTCATCGCCGTCGCGAGGAGGTTATCGACGAATCCGGCCAAAGGTGGGGAGATTTTTCATACGTGGTTGTGATAGTTGCCGTGCAGAGCACTGGCAGTAGAGCGTTGAAAAGCAACGCGTGGGAAACCAACGGAAGATTGTGGCGGGTTTCTGTTGGGGAGAAAGGAAGAACTCGGGTACTCGGGTACTCGGGCGTTGATGGCGAACGCGCGCTACTCGAAATCTCGGGAATACAACGCTGCCAAAGAGAAAGAAACAGGTGTAACAACAGAGAGAGAGAGAG